TTCTAGCAATGCTGATGACAAATTTCAGTACTTTTCAGAACATTTTACTGTCTTTCAAGCTAAGACTATCTGAGTCAGCAGACTCAAACTTTCACAATGACCACAGGGAAAAAACTCCAAAAGAAAAACACTTATTTCCAACAGCATAAAAAAGTTTTAGTAAATCTTTCTGCATCCCAGAGAATTCAGAAATGATGAAATGAAACTGAAGTTGCCATCTTGAAGTTGGTATTACTTGGAGTCCACCAGTGTAATGTCCACGTCGTGAATGTAAAACTCAGTATGGCTTGAAGGAAGCCTGAGTTGAAGCTGGGTCTCTCCTTAATTAGTGAGTGCTCATCCAAGAGATTATTTTTGCATATAAAACTAGTCCTCAGATGCCTGTTTTGCCTTCAGTGTAAGTATGTAGTGAGGGTGTGCCTGTAGAGCCTTTATCTTTCTATTTTTCCAGACTTATGATTTCCCTTCCTATGCTCTTAACAAACAGGTAGCATGACAGGTTCTATCCAAAAGTAGACATGCAACTGAGTTAGCATCACCCTGAATGCAAGCTGGGGAGTCCAGGATTGCCCCTCAGCTTTTCTCTTTACACTGGCATGTACCATGTGCACCCCATTTCTCTCACGTCCCATCATTCACATGTACTGCATACACAACTCTCCTGCTCTCAGCTTACAACACTCTACCATGCAAAGCTCACAGCGGGAATACTGAAAATCATTTACTGTTTTTTTAACCAAAGGCAGGGCTGTAGAAGACTTGGTTCTTCTCTTGGACAGAATCATATTCAGAGCAAACAAAGGCTGAGTTTTCAAAGAAAAATTTAAGTACTTTTGTACTCCCCCATTTCTGGTCAGCTAGACACAGGTGGGAACAGGCTGGCAGGGAGTGGTGCTGTTTCCCAACACTGTATAAACATTCCCACAGCAGTGCTTCACTGTTTGGGTCATTTCCTCCCTAGCAGCATGGAAAATGCAACCACCTACCTTCACACTATTGGAATCATGGTGTCCACCCCATCTCCTGAAGCAGCTGGAGACTACACCTTTAAATTTGAAAATACTTGGTATGGATAACATCTTTTAAAAAACAAAACAAAACCAAAACAATCAGTGCTTTAACATCAGATCAGAGAAGACAGAATCATCTTCTTACCTGGTTTCTGAGTGGATGTAAAACAAACAAGTGAAAGCATATATTTTTCTTTCACTAGGTATTTGTCATGCATAATGTTTTTGAGTCCTATTTTGTCATGAATTAAAGCACAGCATTCCTACATAGTTGATTATCATTAATTTCCAAAAGTAATGCCAGAAAAATATCAGAGTTCAACATAATATAATTGAATTTACATTCTTGAGTGTTGTTTAGAACACACATATTTCTTGAATTACTACCTTGTTTTACAGTCAATGCTGTTTGGTTTTAAATTCTATTTCACTGAAGTTACTTCTAATTCTTTCAGTTCCCAGTGCTTCCTATCTTATTAAGAATGTAAAGCCATCTCTCTGTATACAGACTTGCAGGCATGATGAGGTGGATTCAAAGTTAATGAATCTTCCTCTTAATTTTAACCCCTGAGTATGGCCATGACCTTCTCCTCCTACATTGTTGAATTATAATGAGGTTGGGGGTGGTTTAATCTATTGATCCTATTGCCCATGACAGCACTGCTATATTATTAATTGCAGACACAGACTACATGTGCATACTTATCCCTTACTTCAAAAAGTGATACTTTGCAATCTTTATGTAACAGAGCCATGTTCAGCATCTAATTATCCCAGCTTAGGCTTCCTAACTAGAGTATGTTCTTAATTTGTTGTGGACTGCTAGTCACCATAAGAGCAACATATACTACACTACAAGGCATTCATAACATAGCTGAATTTTAGGCATCAAATGTATGATGAGTATGTTACAGAGGTTTAAGAACCACTACTGAGTGCAATAACAGTCCCAGGACTCTATCTTAGTCCTGGTTTTCAAGATACACTTTAGTTTAAAGGCTATCCAGTGGTGTTCAGAATAATTTTTTCTGCTTTGCAGTATGAGTGGGTTTAGAACATATCCACAGCTGCAAGCTGGCAAAATAAAAGTGGTCAGACCTCTTTGTGGCAGTGTTCATTCAGTATTAATTTTTGAACAGTACCTAGGAATTATTTGGGAAAACATTACTTGGTACATGCTAATAGCATGGTTCTAGCACTAGAAGACAATATTTCTATGGCCAGGTAACTCCTCAGGTACCTTATAATTTGCTTGCATCAAGACAGCCACAGTGGACCAGCTAAGCTTCTGTAATATAATCAGCTGAGGTTTTAGAATACAGAGTGATCTTTACTGAAACTATGTCATTTAAAAAATGATCAGAATTTGCCCCAAATTCTTAATTATATTTATGGCACTGAGATAATTTGTTGGGTAACAATCAGTTCACACTCAGATTTTTAACCAAATGTGTGCAGTTTCTGTTGTTTCCCAAAGGATAGTACACCAGATAGATTAATAGACAGATGATAGACAGATAGATAGATAGATAGATAGATAGATAGATAGATAGATAGATAGATAGATAGATAGACTGTAGGAACTTAAAAACCAATTATAGTGAATAAATTACCATGCATGCATAGATTTGATCCTGCCTTAGGAAAGATGTAGCTCTCTAAGAGTGCCATGGAAGAAAAGTGCAAGAATGATACACATCCTCAGATAACTGGGCTGAATTGAAGGGATTCTGTTCTGTTTCACCCTGGGCACATAGAAAGGATGTATTTTGTCCTGTTCTGGAAGGAGTAAACAGAGATATAAAGAGGGTTGTGTGTGATGATAGAAGGGCAGGGAAAAAAGACTTTCAATCCTGAGCAATGTCAAGGAAATGGAAAGAAAGCTTTTTTTTTTTTCTGAAATTCCTGCTGCAAGTTAGGAAGAAGATGTGGTGAAGAGCTGAAAGTATTGGCTTAACTTCCTGACCTTGCACTAGATATGCCTGAGCAATATAACCTGCAATATTCAGCAAGTTAAGATTTTAGCTAGTAATACCCAGACTCTGCATGTGAAAAGAGCACATAGATTCCATGTCAGCCAAAGATTCCCAGGGATTTACCTCTCAGATGAAGCCTGTAATTTATGTTTGGTGAGACAGATCTTTCAGCTGTTCTAAATCAAAACACCTACATGATTCAAACCACATGAGGCTCTAGTCCAAATTTTGTATAGATAATTTCTGTTATGCTGTAAGGATTATGGGGCTGTTTTTTCTTGCAAATTCTGTGAGCACATTTTGGAATAACTGCAGTGAATGTAAAAGTTTTTCTTCATTGAATGAGAAGTGAATTAGCTCCAAAATTTGTGTGACAAATATATAAATGACAGACCATGTTATGCTCTTCTTGTCAAGTTTAAAACCCAGCAGGCATATATTTAAGTCCATTGATAAATGTGTTAAATTGAGCACATCATCATGTTAAATACACTATAAATTTGTGGCTAAATCACAATAAACTTACTCAAGTCTTTCTTTTTAGTACTCTTCCAGAGGAAAAAACACTGATTATTCAATTCAATTGAATACTAAAAAGTCAGTTTAAATTTAAATTGCTGCTAAAATACTGAGAACATTGAAAGAAACAATCTTTTTCTAAGCAGAAAAGCAAAGCAAGAAAACTATATAATACTCTTGAAAATGTGCTGAGAGGTTACAGTTTTTAACAATTCAGTAAGGAATTGTCAGATCTGTGAAAGATTTTTATGAGATGCTTCCTTAATAACAGTGTTAACAACTGGTGTTTTCCCATGGTGTATCTTTTGCAACCATTGTACTACTTACAGCTACTGTTTTTCTCTGTACAAGGTGAAAAAATTTCTAGAGTGGCACAGTCCAGGTGGATATTTGCAGCTTAATCCATCTAACTCCAGGATACTTCTGCCCAGCTCTTCAACCTCTCCTCAAAGGGGTGGTTATTCAAGTAATGCAAGTAATCCTAGAGATACATTCAAAAATCTCCCAGCACAGCAAGGCAAGAGGGCAAGTCTCTCTAACTGTGGGAGAGCAGGTTTGTCCTGCACCTCCATGTGCTCTACATTTAGATTTGCTTCTGGAGCAAGCCAGCCCAGAGACACATCCCTCATCTGGAATACAGCCCCAATGCTGACAAATTCCAGGCTACTGCCGAAAATGTAATTATCTCTGATACGTATAACTGAAAGCCTGGAAGAAGACACTTTGAATGCTGCTTTCCAAGATGCTTGTGAAGTGCTGGCATGAGAAATTGGACACAATAAAATAAGAGGGGAAGGCTAAAATCGAAGTGATAGACATTTATTAGCCATTTGTGGAAAGTGCTGGTCATCATGCGTGCTAAGTGGTGATAATGATATGATGTGATTTTGTGGTGACTCAGAGCTGACTCCAGAAGGCTGCAGTAGTTGCTGTGCTTCCAGCCATCCTCTTCCCTACTGCTATGGGGAGCTCTGCCAGTTTTGTCCATTCTGCCCAAGACAGAAGCCTGGAGGCTGGGGAGGAAAAGCCGGCAGACTGTCATGACTGCCTTCTTTTTGTATTCCCCTTTTACTCTCATGGCAATAACTCCCTCCAGTGACTGGAGGAGCAAAGGCAGCTGAGATATTTTTACAGGAGATCAACATTGCTATATAGGTCTTACCTAGAGCACCTGCAAGAAGTGGCTACCTTTCCTTTACTTGTGACTCAACAGATGGTGACTTGGCTGGGTCACTCACCCTTCTACCATAGGCAAGCTGAGGAAGGTAGCCTCAGGGGTTCAGGGAAAGTAGATTTTTATTAGACACTGTCATTCACTGTAAGGTGGGGTCTGTTTTAAATATGACAGACAGCTCTTTCAAAACAGCTGGAGGTGGAGAGGAAGGTGGAGGAGTACAGGATGAGCTTCTTTCTTCAACAAGAGAGAGGGAGGTGCATGACACTGAATCATATCTACACTCTTTTTGTATTGAAAAATAGACTGAGGAGAGGCTCTTCTACTGACACAGGCCTTCAGCCAGCAGATGCCTGTGGATGTTTAGAGACCATGAAACCACCTCGTGTGACTTGCTGCCATTAGGAGCCTCTCATGAAGCACTTCTGCTGGGTATGTCTGTGTTACATTTTTTTGCTTATTTCAGGTTTAGGAATTGACGCCAGTGAAGACAAGCTGCACTATAATAGGCCTGGGATATACAGGGCTGCTTCACAGCTTTGGTACGTGGCACCTCAGCATTGCAGAGTCTCTAGAGCTGTGCTTCTTCCTACTCTTCTCCTCAAACCCTTTTGATTTAGTAATTAGATTTGAAAATTTTATATCCTTCATATTTATTTTTTGTAGAAATAATCATGAACCAACACAACACTATATCTAACTTTGCCAAGTGTCTGTTGGAGGTGCCTACCAGCTCATTTCTGTTTTCACCCTCCCTCTGATGCATTGTTTAAAGGAGAGATGGCTGGTGTCAATCACCAAGCCCCATCTGATTGAGGGTGTTGTGCTCATATTTTGTTACAACATGTTGGTAAGTGGTTTTTGACCTTTGGGAGGATGCAACTTTTTCTGTTAACAGTATTTAGCAATAAAATGAAGTTTTCTTTACCCTTATCTCATCTCAGGGCAGTCTTTACATTTACTAAGGTAATTATTTAACATAAGAATCTTCAATTAATAAAATCCCAAACAATGCCAAAGCAAACTTTTTTATATTGTGGACTAATGTAACCTCAAAGGGTCAAAAAGGAGCTTTCAGAGGGAAGTCCTGCAGTCACTAGCTGGGGTATAGTGACAAATTAACTCAAAATATATGTGAATTGTATATTGATATTCTGAGAAAACTTCTCTCCATCTCTCATTTCAACCCCTGAATGCTGCCTATTAAACTTCTCTGATTGTCTTGGGAAAGCTGATGGTGCTTGATTCCCTTCCAAGGCCTAATGCAAGGGCTGCAGCAAAGGACCAGAATGGATCAGCAAGGTTCCAAATGGTGCTCTGGTTGATGTGGACATGGGTAGCCTAAAAGGGGCTGCAGAGTCAAGAGGACACAGTTACATTACTGAAATCACAATAGACATTTTGCCTGATGAGCTCTGCACTGGAAGGAAGGAAATCATGAATGCCACACATATCCTTCACTTCCTAGGCCTTGCATATACAATTATCTTTCTTACTACATTTCTTTCACTTGCTTTACTGACCTCTGCTTCAGTTTTCCTAAAAATGTTTTATTCATTACAAATGCCAAAATTTCAAAAGATAGTTTTTGTGGAGGGAGATGAAGGTTAAATAAAGCTTGTTTATATCTTTATTACAAGGGAACTAGAATGCTGCATTTGTGAATAGAGAATACTCATCCAATTATTTAAAATCAAACAGCTTTTGTTCAAGGTGAGAAAATGTAATTTCTCTATCTTTTTTCCACAGTAGAATTCTGCAGACGTCAGTGGAATTATTCTAGTTTATGGTTACCTAAATTTGGAAAGAACAAGACATCCCTTTTTAATTCTTCATTCTTTCTTTTCTGGTACTTGATTCTCACACTGTTTTTCAGTGCATTCTGAGGATGAAGGAGATCTGTTGTGGTGTGTAATAAATTCTGTGCAACCTCTGCTGTTTGTCTGAAAGCTTGCTGAATACAGCTCTGTAATGTCAAATGTCTTTGATTTGATTTGGCCTGGACCAGATGTCAACAAATTGGAATTTAATGTTGTTGAGATAGAGGACAATGTAGGAAGCATAAAGGGTTTCATTACAAATTACAATTAAAGAAAACATTCAGATGCAGTTGTGCATTTTTTTATATACTGCAACTTAGAGCAATTAGGAAAAAAAATCAGAAATCCTGTTTTTCTTTCATTCCTTATGAAGAAGTGAATGGGAATTTAGGACTTGTATCATAAATCATTATCATTGTGGGTTTTGTTTGTTGTCATCATAATTTTTTACTTTTAAAATAACAATTTGTGGTATATAAGGTGACATTCTTCTTTAGCACTTTTAAATTATACATGCTTTGTTAGTCTGGTAGAATATTAGACAGAAACTCAACAAAAGGCCAGTGTTATGGAGCAAAAACCAGACTTTATTATAGTTGCAGACTGATCTGCAGTAGTATGCATAAATTTGGCAATGATCCTTGCTTTCTTCATGCTGCCAGCAGCAAATATATAAACAATGGCATTTTGCATGCAGAAGTGATTGCAAAGCAAGTTCTAAAACTCAGAAATGTACAGAAATTAACTGTTTAGACTGCTTGTGTGAGCATTTGCCAGATGATTATTGCCTGTTGCTTAAGTATCTAGTAGAAAATACAGAAGAACAATGAAGAGGGTGAATTTCCACTGCAACATGGCATCTGCTTCTCTGCAGGAGAAAGTTCCTTTTCTCCAGGTTGTCTGTGGTGAAATAAAGATTTCTTTTTCTAGTTCTGATTTACCTGTAGCATATGTACCTGGTACCTTAGAGACACCTTTCTTCAGCCCACCAGATGTGTCCTCTGATTTTCTTTAGTAGAGCAGGTGGTCTGGCTTTCAGGAAAATGGTTGTAATGGGATGTGGTATTGACTGGTAAATATCAGGAAATTTGAAGGCGTCAGCAAGGGACTGGGACCAGTTTTCTTCAATCCTGAATGGCCACATCTCCATCCTGGTGCAGGCAGTGTGGTGGGAATGGAGAAAGAGAAATCTCCAAAGAGTGGTTTCATATGCAACTGTATAAATATTTCTAGAGGGGGGTTTTGTTGGTTTTGATTTGGTTTTCTTGTTTGTTTGTTTCTTTGGGGGATGGGGGGGGTGTGTTTGGTTTGGGGGTTTTTTTGGTGTTTCGTTGGTTTTTGATTTTTGTTTTCTTTATTTCTGCAAGCTGTGCATACTTCAGATTGCATTAGTTCTGCACACTCTGTTAGGTGCCTAAGGTTCTATGCCTATTTTTGCTGAATTTATATCTGAACCTTTCTGGAGTCTAACCTTAAAAAAATCAGAAATTCAGATTATCTATGTTGCACCCCATTGATGTTGAGGGAGTTTATAAGAAATATTGCTCCTTGGTGGAGATCTCCATGGATCTTCATATGTCTTCAAGAAAATTATTTTACTAGAAGACCACCTACTTCTTCACTTTTTTTTCTTTCAGATGACTGAAAAAGACATTGGCTGATTATAATTTTGATATTTGTGCATCTTCTAATTTTAACTAAATATTGCAAAGCAGTTGATAAATCCTTTAAGAACTTTGTCAAGAACAAATATGTCTAAAAGTGGTTTTCATCAAATTTTTATGTGAAGGATGGGATAATATTAGTTTATAAGTACAAATCTTCCTGATTTCCATAAAATGCTCATTTACCAGGAGTAGGTTTTTCTCTACCGGCATTATGTCTAGTTCTTCTGTTTTCTAGAAATACAAATCTGGCCTGAGAATGATCTTAAAAGTTGACTAGAATAGTAATAGTATCTATTAAATGTCTCTGGTCTGGTAGAATCCACTGCAGATTGACTTCATATCAGACATAAGTGATAAAATCACATAAGTGATAAAGTCACATAAGTGACATTTTTGAGACTAAACTTCTTGAAGTGCATTACTTTATTCAGTGACTGTGATCCTGAATCTAGGAGCAGCAATGCTTGATTTTGCAAGAAAGAACAGTTCTTCTGATGATCCACAGCTAATTTTCTTCCTCCTCAATCTTTTTTCTTATGTTAAATATAACCAAAATGTCTATCTTGATGTAACTAATTTTAAAGGCAATGTTGAAATGATTTAAAGCATATTCTCTCCGTACCAAGGTACAATAGCACCACAATTTTTCTTGCCAATTAAAACCAAAGTTTGAATTGTCTTTCAGATTCCCTTTTTTTCTTTACCTTCCTTTTATCACATTCCCAATGTTTTACAGTAAAATAAAAAGCACATGTTTTATTATTGTTATGATTATTATGATTATTATTTATCTCATGTACATGGAGCAAGCACGACAGAAGATACTAGAAAGAATACAAATAGAGACAGAAATCTACAAATGAGGCTTCATATATACTTCAGAAGAGTGAATGGCTAAGAAATATAATTTGAAAGGAAGGACACATGGCAGTGGAATCTATTGCTACAATTTAATGTTATTCCTTCTCATGATTGAAGCAAAGGGCAGACTATTACCTACTTTTTTGTAAGAGTCTCACAAGTCTGCTCCACTTTATCAATCCCAGGACAATGTGCTTTGGTAACAGCAAAACATTGGTAACTCATGCTAGTTGTTACCTTTTCCACTCTTCAGCTTCTTTTCTGAGAACGTATGGAATCACAAGATAAATTCATCAGGAAGGGATGTGGAGATGTGGGTGTTCAGTCCAACCTCCTGCTCATGGCAGGGTCAGCTGTGTGCTCATCAGGTTGCTCAGTCTTACTGAATTGCTCTGCCCATTATATCTCACCCTCCTGATGCAAAGAGCCTTACTCCATCTTCTCACTTATTTTCCCAGAGGTGCAGGGGAGCTACAGAAAGAAACCCCAAAAAGGAAAGGAACCATTTCTGCTGCAGGCTGAACCAGCCTTGCTTTCTGAGTTTGCCCTCACAGGGTGAATGCTCTGACCTGACCATCTTGGTGGCCCTCCACTAAATCCATGCTAGTTTATTTATGTCTTTCCTGTACTGGGAAGCAGAAAATTAGATGCAGTACTGTAGAAGCAGTACAAGGAATGTTGTGTAAAGGGAGATTATTACTTTGGTCCATCTCTTCTAGTCACACAGCCAAGAATATTGTTCCTCTTTGCTGCCAAGGCACATTGCTGGCTTCTGCTCACTCTGTGTCTGCCAACACACCTTATGTCTTGCCAGCAGTGCTGCTCTCCTCAGTCAAGCCCAGCTGGCAGAACTGCAAGGAGCTCTTACTTTCCAGGTGAAGATCCTTGCACTTGTCCATTTTTAGTTTGTGCTAAATTCAAGGCTGTTTATTAAACACACCTGCATGAGTCAAAGAAATCCTCACTGCAACTTCAGAGTCTGGGTAGAAATATTCTATAAGGAGCAAAAAGCCTATTACAGTGTTTAGAGAAAGAGAAGAACATCTTCAGTGAGCTGGGCATGTATCTTTCGATTAGTAGAGCA